AAATATCTGAATTAATTAATATATGTTATTTTAAAGCATGTCATGCATTTTATAATGTATAAAGATGGGATGCAATAACGCTAATTCACGAACAGTTAATTAAGTTTGCAATAATTTAAAAAAAAAAAGTACATTTTCATCCCAAAATACATAAACAAATAAAAATGTCTTTATCAATCTTAAAAACTTTTAATTAATTATATCACATACATGATAATGTAACGTTTCTTTCCCTTGTTCATTTTCAAACATTTCTTAATGCATATTATTACCATCTGTCTAAATATTTGTAGAATTATTTGTTAATTCCCTCTCATTTACAGAAAAACATTTTTTTTTCATCGATTAAGATTTTTATAGGTAGTTATTTTTTCTTTCTAAAAACAGGAAAAAAACTTTTGGAACTGTGTACATATACTAAATATTTTTTTAATAAATAACAAAAACTACTGGAGATTACTGCCACTCAATCACCTTCAGCTGATCAAATACGAAAATCGAGCTTGGTATCCTCCAAAACACCTGACATCAAAAGAGTGTTCTATAATAAGCAGGCTCAGGATTGGACATACCAAACTGACCCATCTTCACCTACTTCTTGGCTTACATCGACCAACATGTGAGGCATGTGAAAATGCTAATCTGACCATTGAACACATTCCAGTGCGAAAAATTTCGGAAACATCAAATCTAACTCCAAATTGAAGAGAAGGCACCGTAGAAAGAAAACACTGGCATTCAAAAAAACGGTGAAGTACATTCGAAAAATAAAATTAATAAGTTATATTTAAGAAAAACGATCGTCGCTAATGACCCTCGCAGTCGATGCGACATTAAAAAACAGCAAAAAAACAAAAAAAATTTAACTATAACATGCATTGCTAAAATTATATGTATCCTTTTCATTTAACTTTTGAATTAATTTCTTTTTTAAGAAAACAAATGTTTAGCTATTTTTTTAAAAAAATATTTTGTACTTTAAAAAACTCTTTAACGATTTATATTTACCTCATTTTATATAAATGTGTAGATAGCCATTCAAGAACCTGAATCTGAACTTTTCGCACAAAATATATTTGTAACAAAACGTTACACATGTATGCGGTATAAATTAATAAATGTTGTGGGATGAAAAATGGGGTCAAACATTTATTTCATACATATTATTTATTCATTATCACTTTCAATATACACCCTTCCTCTATCACTACAACACACCACGAGAATCTTCCATTCTTCGATACAAAGCTGGAAGTCGTCTTCTGTAAGCTAGTTGAGGGCGTGTGTCTGAAGTATTGTTGATTGTTTGACCTTAAGGTACTCAGTGAAGATGCGCAATCCAATGAATATCGAGAAAACAATTATCGATTGCTTTGAATTTTGATTTACTCATTCTTGGCTCTCGGTAAAATTGTGCTCTTCCAGTGCATGGATTGGCGTTTCGTTTCAGAATCATGAGTGAAAAAATGTAATTCGTCAATCTGCATTAAATGGAAGAAGATTTGAGTCCGTCGAAGCAATGAAATTGAAAGCGGTTCTTGTCATGAAGGAGCTGATATAAGACAACTTTCAGAACTGTTTTAGACAATGGAAGATTCTCATAGAGCGTTATAGGGATAGAGGAGAGGTGTACATTGAAGGTGATAATAAATATGTAAATATTCTATTAAATATTGATAATTATATTAAAAAGTAAATATTCTAAAACACTATCTTAGTCTTTTTTTAGCTGCCACCCCGGACCATTTCCTTCCTCTAAAATATGCCATGCAATAGTGCTATGTCTTATCCCCCAAAAAGGGATGACATAAAAGATATTACGTATTGTGGTGTTGAAATTTATTCGGGATGCCATTGGATAATTATTGAGGATAATTATCCAGAATTTTTTAATAAAAATTAATAATGAAAAATTAGTAAAATAAATTTGGTTCTTTAACATATTTGATCCATGATTAATTAATTGTATTTCCTTTCACAGAGGCTGGTTTGTGTTTATCGTGCTTCTTAATTACACACATTACTTTTGATCATTCTGACATAAATAGGTGGCATGATTAAAATAACTTTTATTAACAAACTTAATTTATTTCAACCTTTAATAAAGAATATATACAGATTATATTTACAAGAATTACAAATTATAGTTACAAGAATCAATGAATTCAATAATGAACTGTGAAGGCATGATTTCAGATGGACTGTTTTGAGAATTTATATTGCCATGAAATATTCTAACATTAGGTTTGGGAATAAAACTTATCTGTTGCATATGACGTGGTGTAGTTGGTAGATTCCATCACTGCATCTGCTGATCTGAGGTCATTTCGTCATGGCTCAAAGCTCTCCCAGGATCATCATGGTCTATGTAGGGCCAAGGCTTCTGTCCCCAAGCCGGAAGAAACCAGAAGACCCATCCTCAAGGCCGGATCTCCACATCAGACCTCTCCTTCAGGCCGGGCAGCGACATAAAGCTTCTCCTCTATGCACCTCAGTAGACTTTATCGAAATATTCAGGGTTCTCATTGGCTCTTAACGTCACCTCTTAACATATTACTTTACAATAACTGTAACACCCCAAGAGGAACCAGTTACTTAGCCCGTTACTAGTTTTTACCCTGAGCCAGGTATAGGGTCGGTTCTTAATTTACCTGCTTACTGCCTTTGACGCCGTTTCTAGTGTCGAAAGTCGGTTTCATTGAATTTGTCATAATAATTCTTAAAACTTCATAATAATTTTAAAAACGTATGCTATGTTCAATACATAGCAATAGTCAACCATCAAATACTCAATCAAGCGTCTTATAGTTGTACAGTTGTTTATTCAAGACATTTTTCAGTTATTCTTACAAGAATAATTCGTTGGTTACTTTCAGTTGCTCTTTATTATACGTTTGTCTCAAAGGCTCAAAGTTAGATCCCAGAGAAGCGGAAAAATCATTGTTTAGGCCTTAATGAACCAAGATTAAAACAAAATCTACCGATTTGTGTTCATACATTTCCGAAATAAAATAAAACGGGACACCAAAGTTATGCGATGGATCTGAGATTAAATATCCTGGAGATAATTAAGGCCTTTGTAGCAACTAAATGAATACGCTAGTTTAATGAACCACTGAAAGGCTCCTCTATAGCCGGAGCAGCTCATCTATTATAAGGCGGAGCCGAAGGTGATTAAAATGGATGGTGCCTCTGACAAATTGACAAATACCTTATCTCCAAAGCATTATCACATAAAGGAGCCAATTTATCTCGCTATATTAATGGAAATGATTCCGGCAAATTGGCGGCTGCTCTATAATGCACCTGACTGATAGTCTTAAGCTATGCAGCCTTCCTCCGGTTACGTCGCGACCATTGAGCAATTTATCGCTTTATGAATTGATCATTCATAAGTATCATCTATAATGAATTAATGAACCTGGGACTAATATTCGACAGAAGGACGACCTGGGGCCCACACGTCAAAATGAAACGACAGACCTTAAACAAGCGACTGAAAAACTGTACTCACTTTTTTCGAAATCAAAATTGAAAATCAGACAAAAACTCAATACATACACTTACCTACTCAAACCCATATGGACATACGCCTCAAAAATTTACGGTTCTACAAAAAAGACACACTTACAAAAACTACAGACCAATATTTTACGACATATAACACGAGCTCCTTGGTACGTAAACAACAAAACTTTACATAACGACTTACGACAACCAACTATCAACCAACACATACGCGATCCCTACGCGATTTCATCTTAAACTACACGGACATCACTACGGACTTATTAACGACATGACCACAGCTGACATGCCTATCATGAGACAACTAAAGAGGAGCTGGATGAGAGATCTCCTTTCTTGAATTAAGGAAATAAATCAAAACCAGGAAGAAGTGCTGCTGGGTACTTATTTTTTTCCACATGCCTAAAATGTCAAATTTTCTTATTAGTTAGAGCACATTTTCAAGCTCATGACAGGTGTGGATGGAAATATGAAGACAAAAAAAAAAAATTTAACCTATTCATGCATGAACCTATTCATGTTTTCTTATTAACACTCAACTGCTTGGACCTTAAGTGTCCTTACATGGTGTATTTTTAAAAACTCTTTTCTTGTTTTATTTAATAATTATTTACATGTAGATTTGATAATCCATCAGTATTGTTTGGATTTTTCTGTGTATATTTTAACTGTGAAAGCAGCTGTCATATATCGGATAATCTTCTAAAATGTGACCAATCGTCACCTCCACGTTGGATGTCTCACGTTTCGGTGGTCTGGTCTTTTCTATTAGAAGAATAAGAATATACGTCAGCCCAGTGTAGCCAATTCTTAATTTTGTGACATCAACTTCTCTTGCGCTATTTATGTTTAATTTGTTTCATGGTTTATTTTCTGTTTTAATACTTTATTTAATTCCTTTAGTCGGAACATATATTTATATTTTGGCAGTTTACGTTGTATATGATCTTTTTCCTATCAATGATTGACATATTATCTTATTTAATTATTATAATAAAGATCTAATTTAATATTTGGAAGGTTCTAAGTATAAGTTTTTTTTTAAGTTTCATTTATAAGAAGTGGTATATACTGCATTTTAAAAATTGTTTCCGTTCAATTTCTTCTATTATTTTCATCATGATGTAGAGATGGTTGACCGTTGATATGATATGAGAAGGAATTAGTCGAGGGTGCGGTCAAAAAAAAAAAAAAAATTAAAATATATAAATATTTTTTTATAAAAAAAAAAAAAAAAAAAAATTATTTATATATTTTAATTTTTTTTATTTTTTTGACCGCACCCTCGACTAATTCCTTCTCATATTATTTTCATCATTACAACAAGAATCGTTTTATGGTATTTTGGTTTTATTCTTTATATTCGTATGAAAATCCGTTATCAATTTTTATTCGTTTTTTTTTTCTTCATTTGTATTTGTTTGATGATTGGAAGTTAAAATACCATCTCATCGATTAGAGAAGCATTAAATGTAAATATTGTTTTTATTAAAATTTTAATCATATTTCATTAATAACGTGCATATATAAAAACTTACAAAAGATCATAAGATAAAGGAAATACAAATTATTGTAATTTTTTTTTCCAATTTCTGTACTATTTCTAAAGGTACGCTATTTTATTTATTTATTAAACAGAATATATAGTCAAAGTCCTTTTATTCATAATATTAATTGATCGAAGTTAATAAAGTAATTTATTAATAATTGATTAGTCTATTAGCTGTCCCGTCGCGATTTCCTCCATGTTCCTCTGGTCCGGAATACCGACTATGATTTCGGTCTCTGCTTCGCTCAAGCTGGATGTCTCACTTGATGAAATCAAGGATTCGCTGCCCAAATCCTTCGGAATAACTTTCCTTTTTATCAGTACACTCGGATCCTGCGAACAATTTAAATTTGGATATAGTAATTAAAAAAGCAGTGTTATTTCAGAAATGGCCTATTTTTTAGGTAATTTGTTTTCTTGTTATATATAAATTGTACAACTAAAAGAAATAGCAGAAAGAGTCGGGTCAAAAATATTTTTTGAAAAAAAAAACGAAATAATAACCAATGAAATATTTGTTTGTTGACTGTTTCAGAAATGGTAGGTATGCCATGTGTAGTAAACTAGGGACTGTTGATCCATGCGGTACTCGCTTTAAGGCTCATCCAATTTAATAAATTTCCATAGCCTCTGGTGGATAGAGAAAAGTTGAAGAACAGAATATTTTGTTTGAGGTAAAACTAAAAAAAAAAAAAACTAAAAAACGTGTTTTAGCTTGGCGAGAAGCCCTGGGATGGGCCAGACTTTATCAAATGCCTGAGCAACATCTACAAATACAACAGTTTTTTTATTATTTGTTTTTCTATTATTCGAGAAATGTAGAAATAAACACTCTGTAAATGATATTGACAAAAAAGCTAAATTAATAGTCAGTTTAAACAAAAAAATGTATTGATTTTTTTTTTTGTTTGAGGTTAGTTAGTTTATCAACCAGTATTTTATTTCAAAAAGTTTAGAATGTACCGGAAGGAAATAAATAGGTTCGCAGGATGAAGGATTGCATGTATCTTTTTTATATCATAGGATATCGTTTCTGTAAAAAAAAAAAAAAAAATACCTCAGAGTACATTGGGTTAGCGAATTCCCTCGTAGCATTTTCCTCCTGCTGGGGTTCGGAAGCTGTCGCTCCACCTAACTCTACAGCTCCTGACTGATTTTCAAATCTTGCGAAAGAAAATCTTCCGTAATTTCGGGAGAATAATTCTCCTATGGAGGTCCTGTATAATAATGAATAAACAATCTATAAATTAGCTAATACTTAAGCTATAATGGTAACAAAATGTTTACTGATAATTCACAAAGAATATTAGAAATATTTGTTTATTTAAATAATGTAACTGTAGCGTTGTAAAAACAATCAAATAGAGCTTTAAAGGATTGAGTCTCTAGAGCCTTTCCACCTTGAATCTTCAAGGCTCGATCTGTTGTTAATCTATTTTTAGATAAAAAAAAACTTAAATTATTGTAGCTTTGTATCTTTTCGTAAAAAATAATTTTTTTTTCTGTTGGTATTAACAAAGTCAATGTATTTCTGAAATATAATGTGAATAGGTTGTTTTTCTCTTGGTAGTAACGATGTAAATATATTTCCGAATTATAATGTGAATAAATGGATTTAAAATAATATAAAATAGTAAGTCTTGAACCAAGACGATGTTTATAACAATATGTGATTATGAACGATTTCATAATTAATATCATAAGATATAATCCGCGTAAATAAATAAGTTATATATATTTAAAAATTTTAAATAAAGTTTTATTTCTGATAACATTTTTTTTATTTGTCACTTTGAATACGTACCTGCACCTTTCACGATAGAAGCAATCAGCAGATTTGTATATTAAACTTAACATTCGACTATTTGTCAATAAATGGTAATATACATTTTAGTTAATACATTTAACTAGTAAAATGGCAAAATCAAAATTAAAACTAAATTACATAGTCCGCGATACAAACCCTTTTAACCAAATCATTAACATTCGTTATACGACAAGTGGAAAACTAATGGGTTTTCATGAGTTTTTGGTACTTCATTAAATTAATTTAAAAAACACCCTGTTTCTCCTCACTCACGAAGTTATAAATGAATGTTAATAATTGGACAAAAATAGGCCTGAACCGCGGACTAATGTTATTATCCAATTTAAAATACTAATAATATAAATCGATACTATATGCAATGTATTCGGATATATCATTTTTTTTCTATTCAGCGTCATGAATTCATCTGATTGTCAACAATAATAGTTTTTTTGTTTTGTTTTTTTATTTTTTTTTATTGAGAAATAATACATTTTGCCACAGTTAATGGCACTGAGTACTAAGGCTGAGTGAAGCACGTTCATACCATATATACAATAGAATAAAAAAAGAAAATAAATAATTTAAAAAAAAATATGAATCTATATAACGAAGGCCAAAACTATAATAAACCAAGGAAATGTAACTTAGAGTTAAAATTAAATAAAATACAGAAATTCGTAGCAAAATTAAATAAATTATAAGTAAAATAAATAAATAGAAAAACAGAAATAAATAGAAAAACGATAATAAATTTAATAACGTATGAATAATCGTAAAAGTAATCCAATTTCAGTGGAGCACTTAGTTCACTCCTTCAATTGCTTTAGATACCATAACGCATAACTGATCAAACCAGCAGGTCTGCAGGTTTAATAAATGAAGGCTGTAGTTCTTAAATAAGAGAAATTGGAGATAAATAAATTTTATAAAACCCTATACCACAACAACTTATTAAGAGCTTTAATCATCGGGTATTTCATTCTGTTATTTTTTTTAAGTTATTATATTACACTAAAATAAAAATCGAATAGCCTCGGATAAAGAGAACTATCTCCAGCTGTGCTATCTCATCTTTTTTCTATTATGCCATGGTTTGTCATGGCGATGTGGTTTGTTTCCACCAGAATTGGAGAAACTTTATTGTGTTATTTTGTTCTTTACATGCACTTTAGAGACACGAGGCTGTGTTGTTAGATTTTTTAGCAATTATAACCTAACAATAAAAATTAAAATTTGTTAATTATGAACAAAAATTGCTTACACTCTCTCGTAGTGGACGATAAAGAAGGTAAAAAGAGCCACAGCTGCGATCATACTGATAAAAAAAAATAGTATAGACTGTCCAGGGCCACCAGGATATGCGGCAAGTCCAGACGATTCCAGCTTCCATTTCTTCAGCCCGAGTCCACCTGGAAATTAATCAGTTTTATTTTTCGAGGAGGAGTTGGTAGGTAGTTAAATAAAAATATGTAATATTATACACCATTATAGCATTTTATTGTATTTGCCAACAACAATAAAAAATACTACTGTAATGTATAGTATTAAAACGAGATCCCGTGTTTCTGACCTCTATATTCCATTCCACAGGACAAAAACCTATGAACGTTCCTTCTTAGCCCGCTCCGTCTCCTACTGGAATTCTTTGCCACATAACATCCGTCATGCCTCTTCTCTGTCAACTTTCAAATACCTCCTTTTCCAATATCTCCTTACATCCCAGACAGACGATTCGCAATCATAAATTTCATTTTATGAACTGAATTTATGAGAAGTAAATGTTGGTGCCTACTGTTTAAGTTTTAACATAAAACAGCAATGATCTTTGTCACCTAGTTTGACTATTATTTTTACTATCTATATGTTTTTCTCTTCACCTCAGGTTGTGCTTTTTCTTTCGGGTATATATGTTAATATTTTAAACTTTTTGTCTCTCTGTGTACCAATATGAGTATGTACGTATACATAGTTCCTGTTTTTTTCCATTACACCACATTTTTATTTTTGTCTTTTATTTTGTCTTAGATTTTATTTTTTCTTAGTGTTTGCACATTATTATATAAATCACTGTAGATATTATTAAATTTTGTATTAAGTTATTTTTCTATTATATAGCCTACTCTCTATAAATTGTGTAGTTATGTATATACAAATATGTAATTTCTTTTTTCTTATTTCCATTACAATAATAAATAATTTTTAGAAGATTTTATGTTCATTTATATATATAATATATATATATATATATATATATATATATATATATATATATATGTATATATATATATTTTTTTATTTTTTTTTTTTGCAGTTACATACTACTTTTTAAATAATGTAAATAATATTAGAATTTTATAAGTTAGTTTTTGGCCAGATTTGTATTTTATTTTGTATTAATTCATCATTGTTATTCTAAGGGAACTTAGTCCCAGAATAAAGTTCAATTTTATATTCTATTCTATTATATTATATTATATATTGACCGCACCTCCCAACCAACTCCTCAAATTATAATCCCGGTTAACCGTCTCCAGATTAATTTTATTTTTCACTTATTGGCGGTCTGTTCCAACAATATTATAAAAACAATCTGCAAATTTCGTAGGAAAATTTTCACAAAAATAAAATTTATAAAAACCCTTTCTCAACGGCTGGTCTATAATCTTTTGTAACAAATATATATGTCTCTATGTACTGAGAACAATCATGTTTTACATATTTTTTAGTGTAGGATTTCTCTTGCAGAAAATTGTGGATCTGAAGGACCGATGTCTCGTGAATATGTTGAATGAAGTAAAAATCCCCCCATGTGAAGTTCGATCAGTGCTGCCGAGTCCTAAAAGAGACAGGGTCCAGTATTGCCATGTTGGAATATTTCCCCTTTGTTAACTCTGGACATCCATTTTTCGCCACCAGTCACAATTCGCTTTAAAAATGGATCCTCCACATTTTTTTCAAGTTGAAATTCGTTCCTTTCGCTGAGCTCATGAGGAACTCCACATCATAACGATAGGTATACCCAGCCTTCTTCAGATGTTCAAAAACTGTCGATTTGCAATAATCCAATTCCTTAGCTATCTCACAAACTATACGTGGATGGGACGGTCTTCCAAATCGTAGATCTCCAAACCTAAATCATCTCTTCTAAACGGTTCTGTCAGCAACTGAATTGTCCCCATGCAGTTCACGAATCTTATTTAATGTTCATTTTTTTTTTAAGAAAAACAAAATAAACCCTTTTTTAAAAAACTCTACAAACATTCCGAACAATTGTATATAGAAAAGTATGATTAGTAGAAGAAACTCGTACTGTTTTAAGCTTTAATGGTAGAAATATGTTAATAATTAATTATTCTGAATTATTAATCAAGTTACCTAAACTTAATAAGTAGACCTTAACCTGTAGACTTATTACTTACTGGTCAACAACCGCTGATCCAATTTATCCGCCAAACCTCCTGCGACATTGGCATATTCTTTCTCAACTATTACTACTTGGATGTAACCCATGGTTCTTCCAACGTGCCAGTGAACATCTTTAGGTTCAAGCTCTTCTTTGACAACCGACTCAACTTGAGAAATCCTAGTGGTGGAAGAAAATCCATATAGGAGGAAAGCAC